CTCCCTCCCTCCCTCCCTCCCTCCCTCCCTCCCTCTTGTATAATAGGGCTGATTGTATTGGTTCCTAGGAAAGGTAGTGACTGGAATGAAGTCTTCAAATTTCATCAAACCAAGAAACAGCAGTTCATTATGGAGAAGAATATAATACACAGATTAGCTGCTTGGAAGGCAATGTGCCTAAATCCTAAACTCTCAAAAACTCCTAAATCCTCCTCTCAAAATTGGCTCTGACTTGACTCACTGTCAGCTCTCCGCTGGCATTCAAAGTCTGTTATAATCTTCAAGGGACTCTATCTTCTAATAGGATGGGCCCCCCCTACTAGGAAGACTGTTCATTTATCAGTTTTTTCTGCAATTTGCAACCATGAGGGAGATAAAGGACCTTCTGAGTTTCTATTGCCAAAAGAAAAAGAAAAAAGAAAAAACTTGTGGTAGGCAGGAACTGTGATCTAGGAGGTTATTGTGCAGGTAAACATGAATGGGCTTTTCCTTTCAGATCATAGCTGGGAGACATATTTTTTCCATATTTCTTAGATGGCACCTACCGACCTGCAAGACTAGCAAAAATGTTTAAAAATATGTCTAGCAATTGTTGGAAAGCAGACAAAATCCAGGCACGTATTATCATCTTTGCGGACATGACCTAAAGCAGGGGTCTTCAAACTTGGCCCTTTTATGACTTGCTGGCTGAGGAATTCTGGGAGTTGAAGTCCACAAGTCATAAAAGGGCCAAGTTTGAAGACCCCTGCCCTAAAGCAAAGAACTATTGATCAAAAATACATAGGTGGCTAGAAAAGATAATAGGAACACATGTAGACTATAAACCAGAATTATTTCTTTTAGGTATAATTTCAGAAATTATGACAAAAAATGTGTATACTTAATATTACATATATTAACAGCAGTGAGAATTACATTTGCTTAATACTGGAAAAATGAAGAAATACCATCCGAAGAAGATATAATTAAGAAAATGTTGGACTGTGCCGAAATGGACTGTGTACACTGAGAATGAAGAGGAAGCAAAATTCAGAATACTTTCAAACATGGGAAAATGTTTATAAATGGTTAGAAAAATGGAATAAAGGGTAGGAATGGAAATTGTACTATTATTAATGTCAAACATATAAACCCAGACAATGTGTTGCTTACTAAATACTAAAGACTGTTACTGTAATATATATATATATATATATATATATATATATATATATATATATATATATATATATATATATATATATATATATATTGAGAGAAGTAGTTGAACATCGGGATAAATATAAAAATAACTGTTTAATAAACTAACTGTTTGATAAACTTAGCTTTCGTTGGCTAAGTGCCAATGTCGTCAGAGTGGAATGCCGGAGGTTCAAAAGCCTGTTCATAAGACCGGCTGTTTGTGCGCTCTGCTCATAGAACGCATCACCGGTCTACCCGCCCCAGTTGACCATATTGCTTCTAATAATCTCACATCCGTCTGTATACTTGTAAGCTCAGGGATCNCAGCCGGAACGCGGCGGAACGGCGTTCCGGCACCTTTTTCCGGGCCGGCCGCACCGGAAATAGCCCCTCCCACACCGGAAATAGCCCCTCCCAAATTTTACTTGCATTCCTGTTCTCTAAAGGGGCGGTCCTAGGGTTTGATGAGGGCGTGGCCAGGTTTGAGTTCCGCCACCTTTTCTCCGAGAAAAAAAGCCCTGTTCATGACCATATTAGGGGTAATGAAGTCCTGATATCAGCTTTTGATAAAAACCTTTGTGGTGGTTGTTTGTGGGGAGCTTCTGTACAGAACCTAGCATTTGGTAGTGTGGAAACTAGCTACTATTTGGGTTATTTCTGATATAAAGGAGCTCCTGGCAGCTTGTAAGAGATTTGGGTATCATTTTGCTTGGCATGTATGCTTTTTTATGTTATGCTTTAAAATCTTATTTGCTTGACTAATAATAAAGGTTTAATAAAGATTTAAATCCCTTTATTTAATGGTGCTTATTGTCTCTACCTCCAAAAGAGCCAATTGCCTGGGCACCTGATCACGGCCCCTGACACTTAGCAAAATGTGTGTGTGCATGCATACACATTTTAAGTAAATAAACTTGTCTATTTTCAGGATCTCTATTTTAAACTGAGGATATTTGCAAATTTCATTTCTCATTGTCCTATCCCAGACTCCAAACTGGTGCAATCCATTCCATTAACTAATGCAATATTTAATTGAATTTAATTGAAAGTGTGATACAATAGTCATTAACAGATAGCTTCTACATAGTTCAAGATTTAGTAAGAACAGGTTTTTTTTTTCTTATAAAGTGAGCAGCTGCTCAATAAGCTTTTTGGATCACCTAATTTTAATTGCTATATTGCAGACTGTATAACAACTGCAGAATAGTACTTCGTGATAAAGCTGAAATTTTAGTTTCATGTGTAAGGTCAGATGAAAATATTGGAAGCCAAGCCCTTGCTATTTGCAATTAAGTCACACTGTTTACCATGGAGAGGGACTTTTTCGTTCTTTAGAAACCCAGGCCTGATAAAAGAAATTAAATATTTGCTAGTAGTTTCTTTTTTATATTTGCACTTGCATTTTTAGATGCCAAGTTCAAGATGAATCAAGCCTAAATCAACTTTTTATTATGTTGAGAAAGAAAAAGACCCCTCATTATAGCCTTGCAGTTTGTATTAACAACTGTAGTTAAGGAGAAGGTGATAGCAAGTAGGAGGTAGATTTTCTTAGATATTGTTGAACTGCAATTCTCAACAGATCCAGAGAGCTTGGCTAATGCTGAAGAATGCTGGGACTTGTAGTAATATATGGAGGAATATGAGTGAGCACTGAGAACATGCTTTGAATGCAGAAGAATCAACCTGCAGTTTGGGGCACTCTCAGTTAAAGCAGAGATAATAGTGTGTGGGAGTGACCTTGAGAGTGGCAATGAGATGCAACCAAAGGAACAGTGTGATAAGGGATGGCTACGCCCATTCCAGGAATTGTGGGCAAGGCAAGAGGCTCAGAAAAGACCCTTCCTAGTTATTGAGCTGTAAAGAGGACGGTGGGAGAAAAATACTTTCAGACTTGTAAGATTGATCTCAGCCTTATGAAATAGATCAGACAGGAAACAAGAGCAGATGAGCTAATTCTATTTTATTGTAAGGTTA